AGCTCTATGAGAAGTCAGATGGGTCCTTTTAAATCAGGCTACCTCCAATCCATCACAGAGGTCTGGACGTCTGTGGATTTGACGATAGGCAGGTGGAAATGGACACATTTACAGCCACCTGTCTTTAGAGCTGCATGAAGCTTCCGATCAGGACCACCTTAAAAACTGGCAGGTGTTCCTGCTCTGTGTGCTCGTGTGAAAGGGCCCTTACTCATATTAGGACCCTTTCCCTATATAAAGAATAAAATTTTTTTTTTATATATATATATATATATATAAACGTTTGTGTGTGTGTATATGTATGTGAAGTATATATATAGTAATACTTATAACCCCAACTGGGATACTGTGGCTATATAATTTGGTAGCCCGGAAAGGAGCAAGAACATCTGTCAGGTTTTTTTTTTTTGCAGTCTGTCTCCATAGATACACTGCTCAAAAAATTAAAGGGACACTTTTTAATCAGAGTATAGCATCAAGTCAATTAAACGCCTGGGATATTGATTTACTCAGTGAAGTAGCAGAGGGGGTTGTTAATCAGTTTCAACTGCTTTGTTGTTCATGAAATTAACAACAGGTGCACTAGATGGGCAACAATGAGATGACCCCTAAAAGAGGAATGGTTTTACAGGTGGAGGCCACTGACATTTTTTTCCCTAATCATCTTTTCTTACTGTTTTTCACTAGTTTTGCATTTGGCTAGGGTCAATGTCACTACTGGTAGCCTGAGGCGATACCTGGACCCTACAGAGTTTGCACAGGCAGTCCAACTCCTCCAGGATGGCACTTCAATATGTGCCGTTGCCAGAAGGTTTGCTGTTTCTCCCAGCACTGTCTCAAGGGCATGGAGGAGATTCCAGGAGACAGGCAGTTATGCTAGGAGAGTTGGACAAGGCCGTAGAAAGTCCTTAACCCCTCAGCAGGACCAGTGTCTGCTCCTTTGTGCAAGGAGGAACAGGATGAGCACTGCCAGAGCCCTACAAAATGACCTCCAGCAGGCCACTGGTGTGAATGTCTCTGACCAAACAATCAGAAACAGACTTCATGAGGGTGGCCTGAGGGCCCAACGTCCTCTGGTGGGGCCTGTGCTCACTGCCCGCCACCATGGAGCTCGATTGGCATTTGCCATTGAACACCAGAATTGGCAGGTCCGACACTGGCGCCCTGTGCTTTTCACAGATGAGAGCAGGTTCACCCTGAGCACATGTGACAGACATGAAAGGGTCTGGAGAAGCTGTGGAGAATGTTATGCTACCTGTAAGATCATTCAGCATGACCGTTTTGGTGGTGGGTCAGTAATGGTCTGGGGAGGCATATCCATGGAGGGACACACAGACCTCTACAGGGTAGACAATGGCACCATGACTGCCATTAGATATCGGGATGAAATGCTTGCACCTATTGTCGGACCCTACGCTGGTGCAGCGGGTCCCAGGTTCCTCCTGGTGCAGGACAATGCCTGTCCACATGTGGCGAGAGTATGCAGGAAGTTCCCGGAGGATGAAGCAGTTGATACCATTGTATGGCCCCCACTTTCGCCTGACCTAAATCAAATACAGTCAGGTCCATAAATATTGGGACATCGACACAATTCTAACATTTTTGGCACTATACACCACCACAATGGATTTGAAATGAAACGAACAAGATGTGCTTTAACTCCAGACTGTCAGCTTTAATTTGAGGGTATTTACATCCAAATCAGGTGAATGGTGTAGGAGTTACAACAGTTTGCATATGTGCCTCCCAAGTAATGGGACAGTATAATAATCATAAATCAAACTTTCACTTTTTAATACTTGGTTGCAAATCCTTTGCAGTCAATTACAGCCTGAAGTCTGGAATGCATAGACATCACCAGATGCTGGGTTTAATCCTTGGTGATGCTCTGCCAGGCCTCTACTGCAACTGTCTTCAATTCCTGCTTGTTCTTGGGGCATTTTCCCTTCAGTTTTGTCTTCAGCAAGTGAAATGCATGCTCAATTGGATTCAGGTCAGGTGATTGACTTGGCCATTGCATAACATTCCACTTCTTTCCCTTAAAAACTCTTTGGTTGCTTTTGCAGTATGCTTTGGGTCATTGTCCATCTGCACTGTGAAGCGGCGTCCAATGAGTTCTGAAGCATTTGGCTGAATATGAGCAGATAATATTGCCCGAAACACTTCAGAATTCATCCTGCTGCTTTTGTCAGCAGTCACATCATCAATAAATACAAGAGAACCAGTTCCATTGGCAGCCATACATGCCCACGCCATGACACTACCACCACCATGCTTCACTGATGAAGTGGTATGCTTAGGATCATGAGCAGTTCCTTTCCTTCTCCATACTCTTCCCTTCCCATCACTCTGGTACAAGTTGATCTTGGTCTCATCTGTCCATAGGATGTTGTTCCAGAACTGTGAAGGCTTTTTTAGATGTCTTTGGCAAACTCTAAGCTGGCCTTCCTGTTTTTGAGGCTCACCAATGGTTTACATCTTGTGGTGAACCCTCTGTATTCACTCTGGTGAAGTCTTCTCTTGATTGTTGACTTTGACACACATACACCTACCTCCTGGAGAGTGTTCTTGATCTGGCCAACTGTTGTGAAGGGTGTTTTCTTCACCAGGGAAAGAATTCTTTGGTCATCCACCACAGTTGTTTTCCGTGGTCTTCCGGGTCTTTTGGTGTTGCTGAGCTCACAATGCGTTCCTTCTTTTTAAGAATGTTCCAAACAGTTGTTTTGGGCCACGCCTAATGTTTTTGCTATCTCTCTGATGGGTTTGTTTTGTTTTTTCAGTCTAATGATGGCTTGCTTCACTGATAGTGACAGCTCTTTGGATCTTATCTTGAGAGTTGACAGCAACAGATTCCAAATGCAAATAGCACACTTGAAATGAACTCTGGACCTTTTATCTGCTCATTGTAATTGGGATAATGAGAGAATAACACACACCTGACCATGGAACAGCTGAGAAGCCAATTGTCCCATTACTTTTGGTCCCTTAACAAGTGGGAGGCACATATGCAAACTGTTGTAATTCCTACACTGTTCACCTGATTTGGATGTAAATACCCTCAAATTAAAGCTGACAGTCTGCAGTTAAAGCACATCTTGTTCGTTTCATTTCAAATCCATTGTGGTGGTGTATAGAGCCAAAAATGTTAGAATTGTGTCGATGTCCCAATATTTATGGACCTGACTGTAGAACACCTCTAGGATATCATGTTTCGGTCCATCTGACGCTGCCAGGTTGCACCTCAGACTGTCCAGGAGCTCAGTAATGCCCTTGTCCAGATCTGGGAGGAAATACCCCAGGACTCCTTACTTCATCTCATTAGGAGCATGCCCCAATGTTGTCAGGCATGCATACAAGCACGTAGGGGGCCATACAAACTACTGCGTACCATTTTCTGTTGCTGCAGTGAAATTTCAGCAAAATGGACTAGCCTGCTGCATAATTTTTTTCACTTTGATTTTCGGAACGTCTTTGAATTTAGTCCTCTGTAGGTTGATAATTTTCATTTCCAGGAAACGATGGAGCATCCTTACATTTCTAACACATTACCCAGTCCATATCAGTATAGATATCCAGCATGATATTTTTCCCCATTGAGATCTGATGTGTTTTTCAAAGTGTTCCTTTAATTTTTTTGAACAGTGTATATTCACCTTCACTTCCTTTACCAGTGGCTGGAGCTACCTGGTAAAAGGTGTCTAAGAGAATTTCCCCAACATGTTTATAGACTGTAGACATGACAGAGGTTCAAAAGGTCTGGGTGAGCTTTCTGCTTTCAATGATATACATTAACCCAGATAATTGTGTTTCTCTATGTGACCTAATCTTTTAACCCTTTTACTTCTGCCATCATAACGATTATGGTGCTGGCATGTTTTATTTTGTGTTCCTTTTTGCTCCCAGCTGATGGCTATGTAGTTTAAAGTCACCAATACCTGGTCAGTTTTACATTGCGGTGAACTTTCACTCTCCATGGGGCTTATCAGGCCCCTTGTGATCGCAATAAACTTTCTAAAACAAGAAAAAAAAAATTTAAGTTTAATAAAAAAAAGGGGAAAAGTTAAAGTCCCCCACATGAATGCAAACTGCTGGTGCATATGCATGTGAAAATGACAATTATGTATTGGGAATCTCCATGCATGAGCATTATTTCTGGTGCACACAGTTTCAAAGCTTGGCATATTTGGTATCTATTTACTCTATATATCTTCATCTTCTATATTTTACCCAAAATACTGGAAATTATATTGCAAATGTGTGCGCTAAAATTTATTTAAGTGTAATTACTATGGAAAATATATATATTTTCCCAACACTAGTGTAAATATTGTGTGATCTAAAAAAAATTGCAACTGCGACCATTTGATTCTACAGTCTCTGCTTTCAAATAGAAGTAATGGGCAATTCAATCAATCCTTAAAAACACTTCTAGTGCTCTGGTCCTTCAAAATGGCCTGAGCTAAACTTAAAAATGCCTTGCTGACACATACTGGAGATTCAAGTATTTCTTAATAGCGCCACTATGGTGATTGTATTGCACCCATTTGAAAAATAATTAACATCAAGTTCATAGATAATGAAACAGGAGATATTTCAGGCCAACTATAAGTTGATACAGAAAGAAAGAAAAAGAGAGAGAAAGAGCTTCCGTCTCTGTACTTGTTGTAGTAGGTGGCATATTTGCTACCAGTACCTCCTCCCCTCCTGTCACTGGTTTTTAAGTACACTGCCAGTTTCACAACCAGAAGCCTCCTGGCAAGCAGTAATGCTCAGTGGGTGTAGCCTGATGAAGAAGCTGAGTCACTATTTCCCTACCAGGTCCGCTCTCTCCTTGTGATTGACTGCAAGCAGTGGGCAAATTCTGTAGCTGGTGCAGCTCTGCATAGAAACCAATCACCTTCCTTTTTTTTTTTGGCAAAGCTTAATTGAACATGTTGAAGTTAGAAGCTGATTGGCTAAAATACACAGCTGAACCAGATTTTGCACTTTCCAGTTTTAGTACTGCTTCTACAAACATTTGTGCACGAATGAGTCACTCTCAGGAGCTCAGTGAATTCAAGCATGGTACCATCATAGGTTGCCACATGTGCAATAAGTCCATCTGTGAAATTTCCTTGCTACTAAATATTCCATGGTCAACAGTTAGTGGTATTCTAGCAAAGTGGAAGCAACTGGGAACAACAGCAACTCAGCCACAAAATGGTAGGCCGCGTAAAATGACAGAGCAGGGTGAGTGCATGCTGAAGCGCACAGTTTGCAGAGGTCGCCAGCTGTCTGCAGTCAATAGCTAAACACCTCCAAACGTCATGTGGCCTTCAGATTAGCACAACAACAGTGCATAGAGAGCTTCATGGAATGGGTTTCCGTGGCTGAGCAGTTGCATCCAAGCCTTACATCCATCACCAAGTGCAATGCAAAGCGTTGGATGCAATGGTGTAAAGCACGCCGCCACTGGACTCTAGAGCAGTGGAGACATGTTCTCTGGAGTGATGAATCACGCTTCTCTGTCTGGCAATCTGATGGACGTCTGGGTTTGGCGGTTGCCAGGAGGACTGTACTTGCCTGACTGCAGTGTGCCAAGTGTAATGTTTGGTGGAGAGGGAATTATGGTGTTGGGTTGTTTTTCAGGGGTTGGGCTTGGCCCCTTAGTTCCAGTGAAGGCAACTCTTAAGGCGTTAGCATACCAAGACATTTTGAGCATTTTCATGCTCCCAAGTTTGTGGGAACAGTTTGGGGATGGCCCCTTCTTTTTCCAACATGACTGCGCACCAGTGCACAAAGCAAGGACCATAAAGACATGGATGAGCGAGTTTGGAGTCGAGGAACTTTACTAGCCTGCACCTGACCTTAACCCAATTAGAACACCTTTGGGATGAATTAGAGCAGAGACTGTGAGCCAGACCTTCTCATTTGACATCAGTGCCTGACCTTATAAATGCGCTTCTGGAGGACAGCCTTCCCAGAAAAGTTAAAGCTGTTATAGTTGCAAAGGCTGGGCTAACTCAATATTAAACTCTGTGGACTAAGACTGGGATGCCATTAAAGTTCATATGTGTGTAAAGACTGGTGTCCCAACACTTTTGGCAATATAGTGTGCGTGTATTTATATATATATATATATATATATATATATATATATATATATATTCTAGTTTGTTGTATTTCACTTATTCATGTTTTTAATACTACAGTGTTGTGTGACATCTTTATAGTTCAGGGAGGTAGTTTTCCTGATATTTTTCACATATGTGCTTTTTTGTATTTGGCTTGTGATTGTTGATTTTGTATTCTATCAGTCAGCTTCCATTTGTGTGTTGTTACTGCATGAGAAAATATTTTGTGTCATTGAGTCTTTGCATGCTGCCTGCATACTTGTCACTTGGCTTTATTTGAATAAATCTAAAGTCCCTGTTGGAGTTTCCGAATGTGTCATTATACACTTTCACAGTTCAACATGTGTGCAATCAACAATGACATGCAAGCATTTTAGTGACTTAAGAAAGAAAAGATACTAATTTGAGCAATACGTCATTTGTAATGATGTTTTCTTTACTACATCTCTATTACAGGCGCTAGAGTTGAATTTAAAAGAAGCTGGTAACCAGATGGAGGATATGCACAATAAAATAAACAACCTGTCATCACAGGTTGCTGTTAAACAGACAGAGCTGGCACACAAAGAAGTTGATCTAACCAGACTGAGGTGAGTGGATGGAAGTAAAATGGTTAATTCCAAGCATTGAATAAAAAATGGGACATACAGTGCATCCTGAAAGTATTAACAGTGCTTAACTTTTACAACATTTTGTTATGTTACAGCCTTATTCCAAAATGGTTTAAATTCATTTTTTTCCTCAACATTCTACAAATAATACCCCATAATGACAACGTGAAAGAAGTTAATTTTGAAATCTTTGCAATTTATTAAAAATAAAAAACTGGAAAAAATCACATGTTCATAAGTATTCACAGCCTTTGCCATGACACTCAAAATTGAGCTCTGGTGCATCCTGTTCCCACTGATCATCCTTGAAATGTTTCCACAACTTGATTCGAGTCCACCTGTGGGGAATTCAGTTGATTGGATATGATTAGGAAAGGCATAAACCTGTCTATATTAGGTCCCACAGTTAACAGTGCATGTCAGAGCACAAACCAAGCCATGAAGTCCAAGGGATTGTCTGTAGACCTCCGAGACAAGATTGTATCAAGGCACAGATCTGGGGAAGAGTACAGAAAAATGTCTGGAGTATTGAAGGTCTTAATGAGCACAGTGGCCTGCATCATCCGTAAATGGAAGAAGTTTGGAATCACCAGGAATCTTCCTAGAGCAGGCCGCCCAGCCAACATGAGCGATTGAGGGAGAAGGTCCTTTGCCAGGGAGGTAACCAAGCACCCGATGGTCACTCTGAAAGAGCTCCAGCGTTTCTCTGTGGAGAGAGGAGAACCTTCCAGAAGAACAACCATCTGCAGCACTCCACCAATCAGGCCTGTATGGCAGAGTGGCCAGACGGAAGCCACTCCTCAGTAAAAGGCAAATGGCAGCCTGCCTGGAGTTTGCCAAAAGGCACCTGAGGGACTCTCAGACCATGAGAAACAAAACTCTCTGGTCTGATGAAACAAAGATTGAAATCTTTGGTCTGAATGCCAAGCATCATGTTTGGAGGAAACCAGGCACCGCTCACCACCTGGCCAATATATAATCCCTACAGTGAAGCATGGTAGTGGCAGCATCATGCTGTGAGGTTGTTTTTCAGCGGCAGTATCTGGAAGACTAGTCAGGATCGAAGGAAAGATGAATGCAGCAATGTACAGAGACATCCTTGATGAAAACCTCTTCCAGAGCACTCTGTACCTTAGACTGGGGGGGCGACAGTTCATATTTCAACAGGACAATGACCCGAAGCAAGCAGCCCACATAACAAAGGAATGGCTATGGGCCAACTCTGTAAATGTCCTGGAGTGGCCCAGCCAGAGCCCAGACTTGAACCTGATTGAACATCTCTGGAGAGATCTAAAAATGGCTGTGCACCGATGCTCCCCATCTAACCTGATGGAACTTGGGAGGTACTGCAAAGAAGAATGGGAGAAATTTCCCAAAAATATGTGTGCCAAGCTTGTAGCATTATACTCAAAACAACTTAAGGCTGTAATTGGTGCTAAAGGTGCTTCAACAAAGTATTGAGAAATGGCTGTGAATACTGTGGTTTTTTCATTTTTTTATTTTTAATAAATTGCAAAGATTTCAAACCGAACTTCTTTCACGTTGTCATTATGGGGTATTGTTTGCAGACTGTTGAGGAGAAAAATTAATTTAATCCATTTTGAAATAAGACTGTAACATAACAAAATGTGGCAAAAGTTAAGCTCTGTGAATACTTTCTGGATGCACTGTTTACTGTAGATTTGCACTGTTTGTAGGCCCTATAGGCCAACAAACGGAAGTAAGAAACACAACACCAACTACTTGTTTTAGGAAGATATGCAACAAGGCAATAATGGCAGCCACTGAGATCAATTTATATCTAACAAAGTGAATTATTTATACATTACTTGGGAGATATAGTTCATTTACCAGGAAAAAGCAGATCTTAGAAAAAAAGACAGCAACATTTCAGAGAAGAGCAAATGCTCCAAATATAGTGGCTATAGAAAATAACCCCCCCCCCTTTCCTTTCCTTTTTTTTTTTTTTTTTAATAGGCACATTTTGTTGCTTTGCAGACTGAAATGAAGACACACAGGTTTTTTTTGTCCACTGCACAGTGCAACTTATAATATCCATGTGAAAGATATAACACCAACATGTCAGAAAAAAATTCAAAAATGGAATCACTGAGCTGGAAAGAGGATCACCCCCCTCCTAAAATGACTTGTAAACTCAATCAGGTGTAGTTAATTGCCTTCTCAATGGCACACAAAGCCAATCGACTTTCAACTGTGATCAGCTGTGTTCATTTTGATTAGCACAAAAAGAGCTTTCCTGGAGCATTTCAGTCCTTGGTAGTGTAACTGAAGCAAACAATCAACTTTGGATGGCGAGGCACTGTCAAAAGATCTCCAGGATAAAGTTGTGGACAGGCACAAGTTAGGAGATGGATATAAAAAAATTTCAAAGGCTTTATCAATGCCTAGAAGCTTGGTGAATTATATTATTAAGAAGTGGAATGTATTTGGTACAACACAGGCCCTCCCTGGATCGGGGACTTTGCTCCAAACTGGATGAAAAAGCCAGGAGGAAACTGGTCAGAGAGGCTACCCAGAGGCCTACAGGAACTCTGAAGCAGTTGCTGGAATTTATGACAAAGAGAGGTTATTGTGTGCTTGTGACAACAATATCACAAATTCTCCACAAATGTGGCTTGTATGGGAAGGTTGCAAAAAAAAGCCACTCAAGAAAGGCCACATGCAGCCACAACTGAGCTTTGCCAAAATGCACCTTGAGGATTCTGAGGCCACATGGAAAAAGGGGTTGTGGTCAGATGAGACTAAATTCAATAATTTGGCCTCAACACTAAATGATATGTCTGGGGAAAATCCAATCCAGCTCACCATCCAAATAATACCATTCCTACAATAAATCATGGAGGTGGTAATATTCTGTTATGGGTTGATTCTCTGCAACAGGGACTAGAGCACTTGTCCGGATAGAAGGAAAAATGGATGGGGCAAAATACCGAAAATCTGCTGCCCTCTGCCAGGAAGTTGTAAATGGAAAGAAGGTTTACCTTCCAACATGATGATGACCCAAAGCACACAGCAAAAATGACCACACAGTGGTTGGAGGAGAAAGAGGTGAATGTCTTTTGTATGGCCTGGTCAGAGCCCAACCCCACTGAATATCTGTGGAATAACTTGAAGACTGCAGTCCACAAATGGTCACCATGATATTTAACTGATCTTGAGCAGTTCTGCTAAAAAGAGTGGGCAAATATTGCAGTCTAGATGTGCTAGGTTGGTAGACATATCCGAACAGACTAAAGGCTGTAATTAAAGAAAAACGTGGTTCAACAAAATACTGACACAAGGGGGTGATCCTTTTTCCAACTAATGTGTCCGTTTATGAACCAGCGGTAATAGATCGCTGCTCAGTTCTCCGGCATTCTCGGAGAACACAGTTCTCCTGTGAATGCAGTTTATGAAGCAGTTCTCCAAACGAAGGGAGAACGGTCTTCAAACGCTGGAGAACGGTCTACAAACTCTGGAAAACGGCTCATTTTACTATAATCTCGCGAGATTACAGTAAAAGATCAGTTTAATAAGCAGAGGTAAATTATCTCTGCTTAGTTTTCGGTCCCTCTGATTCTCCAGCTCTGGGCTGGAGAATCTGGAGGGAGAACACAGATCTCAAGAGAAGGGCTGACATAAACTGTCATAAACTGTGAATGACCAGAGAATAGCTGAGATCCGTTGAATCACAGCTATTCTCTGTGTCATAAACGGACACCCCAGTGATTCTGTTTT